TACTCTATGATGAATTTCGACCACCACTTATGATTAGTTATGAGACAAACAAAGAAAAGACAATAGAGATATTTTTACAAAGTTTTTCTCTGCCCACAAACTGTGGAAATTTTATTATTCACTTTGCAATTGCAAAATACTGTGAATGACTTGATTACAAAATAGGGGTTACTCCCTCTATTTACAGATTTAGGTTAGCTTGCTCCCTAAGCTAAAACTCAAGCCCAAAATATCTTTTTACTAAATCAAATCTAATCAAATCTATTCTAGACTTAAATTCAAATCTATTTAAATCTAAAACAAAATCAAATCTAATTTTGACACATATGAATTACAATTTAACACACCACCTAATTCATTGTGTCTAAACTGTCTATGTTCATCATGACCCTTAGCTTTCTGAATACTTCGACTTGCACTCCCTTCGTCATGATGTCTGCAATCTGATTCTCAGTTCTGCAGTGTTTCAAATTCATCTTCCCATCTGCTACCTGCTCTCGAAGATAATGGAACCTCATTTCGATGTGCTTACTTTGACCATGTGCTATTGGGTTCTTCGCCAGATTAATAGCTGACATGATGTTTATCTTCATGGTAATTGCTCCATGATTTTTCCCTGTTATCTCTTCGACCAAGTTCATCATCCAAGTTGCTTGACATACACAAAGAGAAGCAGCTATGTATTCTACTTCACATGATGATAATGCCACTACTGATTTCTTTCATGAATTCCAAACAATTGGTGCACCACCTAGCATAAACACATATCCTGCTGTTGACTTTCGATCTTCAGCATCACTACACCAACTCGAATCAGTGTATCCCACTAACTTGCATTCTTTTCCTTTATCAACTGCAGGAAACAAAATGCCATAATCGAAAGTTCTTTTGAGATACCTTAGTATCCTCTTCACTGCTGCTAGATGTGATACCTTTGGCTTCTGCATGAATCTACTTACCATACCTACGCTGTATGCTAAGTCAGGCCTTGTATGACAAAGGTATCTCAATGATCCAATAAGTCTTCTGTATTGGGTTGGATCAACATCATCTTCATCTGCATCTTTCGACAGTTGCAGTCTTGGTTCTGCAGGTGTCGAAGTTGAGTTGCATTCTTCCATCTTAAACCTCTTGAGAATTTCTCCTGCATATCTTCTTTGATGCATCATCAAACCTCTACTGCTCTTGTAGAATTCGATACCAAGGAAATATAAAATCTCACCCAAATCAGACATTTCGAATTCCTTGCTGAGATCACCTTTGAAGTCTTCAATCTCACTCTTGCAGCTACCTGTTATCAACAAATCATCTACATAGAGACATAGTATAAGCAATTTACTCTTGCTTCTTCTTACATATACTCCATGTTCAGTTATACACTTCACAAATTCCTTCTCCCTTAGAAAACTATCAATTTTCTTATTCCAAGCCCTTGGAGCTTGTTTCAATCCATACAGGGCTTTATGTAGCCTGTACACCTTTCTTTCTTCGTCATGTTTCACAAACCCAACTGGTTGTTTAACATAGACTTCTTCATCTAAGGGTCCATTTAGGAATACACACTTCACGTCCATCTGACATATGTGCCAACTGTTGATTTCTGCTAGACCAACAACCAGCATGATTGTTTCGATCCTAGCAACAGGTGCAAAGACTTCGTCGAAGTCTATTCCTTCTTTCTGTAGAAATCCTTTCGCCACAAGTCTTGCTTTGTATCGAGTTACTTCACCTTTTGAATTCGTTTTCACTTTGTATACCCACTTGACATCAATTGCCTTCTTGCCTTGAGGCAATTCGACAAGTGACCAAGTGTTGTTGTCTTCGATAGACTTTACTTCTTCGTTTATTGCTTTCACCCACTTCGAATCTTTTAATGCTTCAGCTGCATTAACAGGTTCGATATCTGCATAGAAAGCATAATGTACCAGCTCACCTTTATTATCTATTACATCATCTAATGTAATCACACAATCTTGCAATCTTGCAGGCATGCGTCTTGTTCTTTGAGGTCTGCTTGTACTTGGTATATCTGTTGGTTCCTCTTGTCGAACTTCTCTTTCGACTTGAGTTTCTGGATCTTCGAATAGGATTCCCACTGAATCTTTCTTGACATTTGCAGTCCAATCCCATTCTTTAAACTCATTTATGATCACGTCCCTACTGATCACAATCTTCTTGTTCTCTGGATCGAACAACTTGTAGCCTCCTGTCGAATGATACCCAACTAGGATCATTTGACTTGACTTGTCATCAAGTTTTCTTCTCAACTGATCTGGCACATGTCTATGTGCAATAGATCTAAATACCTTCAGATGACTCAAGCTAGGCTTCACATCAGACCAACATTCTTCTGGAGTAATTCATTCTAGCTTCTTTGTAGGACATCTGTTCAAAATATAAGTTGCAGTCGAAATAGCTTCACCCCCAGAACTCTTTAGGTAAATTCTTGCCTTTCAACATACTTCTCACCATATTCATGATGGTTCGATTTTTCCTTTCTGCAATTCCATTTTGCTGTGGAGTATAGGGTGGCACCACCTCATGCACAATCCCTTCCTTTTCACATAATCTGTCGAAGTCTTTCGACACATATTCTCCACCACCATCAGTTCTCAAAACTTTGAGCTTTCGACCACTTTGTCTTTCGACCATGGACTTAAACTTGGTAAATACTTCGATCACTTCACTTTTCTTGTTGATCAGGTAAGTCCATAGCTTTCGACTGAAACCATCTATGAATGTAACAAAGTATTTGTTACCTCCCATCGAATCCACCTAGATTGGTCCACATACATCAGAGTATATGACTTCGAGACTAGCCTTCGATCTGCTTCCTGCATCCTTGCTGAAGATATTCTTGTGTTGCTTCGCCTGCACACATTCTTCACATACTTCGTTTGGAATGTCAATTTCAGGCAATCCTGAAACCATATTTCTTCTCTTCAAATCTCTGATGTCTCTGAAGTTGAGATGACCTAGTCTATAATGCCATATCCATTCATCTCTGCTAGCTGCAGTCGAAAGGCACTTGTGCTCCATCACATTTAGTTCAATCTTGAAGGTTCGATTCTGAGACATATGAGCCTTCAAGATTACTCTCCCATTTGCATCAACAACTCTCATCAACTTATCTTCGGTTGACACTTTATAATTTTTTTCGACCAACTGTCCTATACTGAGCAAATTGCTCTTCATGCCTGGTATGTACAATACATTCGAAATTACTGAATTCTTGCCATCTTTCCTCATGATCATAACATCACCAATACCTTCAGCTGCTAGGGTGTTGTCATTTGCAAATTTTACCATATTTTTCGTTGAGGGTTTTATATTGACGAACCAGTCTTTCCTTCCAGACATATGTGATGAACATCCTGAATCCAAGTACCATTGGTCCTTGAATCTATCTTCATCTTTTATTGTGACCATCAGCATCATCTCTTCTTCTTCTTCATGTTTTGCAAGCTTTGCATCACTTTCTTAATTCTTTCATTTTTCTGGACAATCACTCGAATAATGTCTATATTTCTGACAATTGTAACATTGAATGTGACTTTTATCAGGTTTTCGACCACCACCTCTTCCTCTGTTTGCAGCACCACCTCTTTGGTTGCCTTGGTGTGGTCTTCTTTGATTCGACATGTCTCCTTCGATTTGGTTTCCTCTACCATTCGATTTTTTGTAGCCACCTCTACTTCTGTCGAAATACTTTCCTTTACCTTTGGTCTCTTTTGCTGAATGTGCCTGTAAGGCCACATCACTCTTCGATTTTCCTGCAGCTCTTTCGTTCATTCTTTGTTCATGAGATTCGAGCGTCCCTTGAAGCTCTTCCTTTGTCAATTTCGACAAGTCTTTCCCCTCTTCTATCGCCACCACTATGTGGTCGAACTTAGGAGCTAAAGATCTCAAGATCTTCGAAATAACAGCTCTTGTTGTTAATGTTTCTCCACATGCCTTGATTTGATTCACTAGTTTTGTAACTCTAGTGAAGAAATCAAATATGTTTTCACTGTCTTCCATCTGAAGCAGTTCATAGGTCCTTTTGTGAGTTTGTAACCTCACTTCTTTCACCTTCTCAGCGCCTCCAAAAGACTTCTCAAGGATCTCCCAAGCTTCTTTTGCAGATTCTGAATCACTAATCTTTTCGAAATTGTCTGGGCTGACACATTGATGAATTATAAATAATGCTTTATAACTCTGCTTCTCAGATTCTGTATATTTCTTCTTTTCTTCTTCTGAAGCGTTTTCGCCAAGCGCTTCGACTCCATCTTTTGCAAGGTCCCAAAGGCCTTGACACCTTAATAGGACTTTCATCTGTTTGCACCAATTCTCATAGTTGTCAACTTTCAGAATTGGCAGCGTTGCTGGATAGTTTGCATTCCCATAACTTGTCATCGTGAATTATTCAATCGTTCTTGATTGACACTTCCCTTGAATCAAAACACAAGCTCTTGATACCAAATGTTGGAAATCCACCAATACTCTATGATGAATTTCGACCACCACTGATGATTAGTTATGAGACAAACAAAGAAAAGACAATAGAGATATTTCTGCAGAGTTTCTCTCTGCCCACAAACTGTGGAAATTTTATTATTCACTTTGCAACTGCAAAATACTGTGAATGACTTGATTACAAAATAGAGGTTACTCCCTCTATTTATAGATTTATGTTAGCTTGCTCCCTAAGCTAAAACTCAAGCCCAAAATATCTTTTTACTAAATCAAATCTAATCAAATATATTCTAGACTTAAATTCAAATCTATTTAAATTTAAAACAAAATCAAATCTAATTTTGACACATATCAATTACAATTTAACAAAGACCTCTTTGATCATCTGTATGCAACTTTCCTCGAATAATTCTCCAGAAAGTTAAAGAGGTAGATGTGGGAATACATTTGTGCCAAATAGATTTTCCCCCGAGGACAAAATGAGGTCGACCTAGTATGTGCAGGTAAGCTCTTTTCATGTTGAGTAAAATATCTTTTTTAGGGCACTAGATTCTCATATTTAGCATGTGACTAGTCACAGCTACGTTCTTAGCCCTCATATCCAAACCATGTGAGAGGTTTATGAGCGCTTGGGGAATAACTAGCTTGGAATTAAAATCTTCTTCTTTTTCTTCACCAAAAGAGGAGTTAAAATAACCATTACTATATAGCACCGTCTCCAACTCATCATCTCCTTCCTCATTAAAACAAAGATTCGGTTTCAAGAAGTCTGTTAAAGTTCCTTCTTCAACCCATCCCATATTGGAAACAACTTAAGGACTACCATCACCACCACAACCACCATCCTGAAACTGAACCTACGCGACCTACAACGCTCCACCGATGATTTCCTTTTCTCTCTGCTGCATGTGTACCTCTCTTAATCTCTCTCTCTACATGTTTCTTTTTAAATTTTCCTCATAACATAAGGTGTATGTTGTTAAAATAGACCTTCATAACAAGTTGGTCTATTTAACAAGAAGAAGAATAAATTGGTAAATTTGGGAGAGATGTTGTTGTCGTTTTTTATTTGAAGCTTAAGAAGGTTCACGGTTGAAAGAAAGCGAACATGCTTTGGTCGTTTTTCCCTTTTGCGATTCTAATCTAAAGAAGAAAGAGTGGTAACACTCAAACCTACACCACTTAAATTTGTATACTTATTTTTATTTTTTATTTTTTTTCTATTTATATATATATATATATATATATATATATATATATATATATATATATATATATATATATATATATATATATATAGGATTTCTGTGTCATCCATGTTAGACACTTAGGTTCTAACTAGGCCCATTTATTTGTGTGTGTCTTTTTGTTATTCTTAAACTATTAAGTTTAGGAGCAATACAAAAACAATTTTATGAAATAAATTTAATTGAAATGAACAAATTAGTTTTAAAAGAAAGATATGATCTTTTAATACTTGAATTCTTACTGTCTAAGTATTGACAATTTATTTGCCTTAAATTTTTTTTTTAAATAAAATATTATTAATAAAAAATGTGTAAATCGATTAAATAAATGTACATTTATTTTAACCATCGAGATTTAAAGATGCACGTTGTACAACTCGACTATTTATAATCTTGCCATTTTTTTCGTAAACAAAAATTGTTAATTAGCCATACATCCTCTTAATTCTCAAGTGCTCGGACACAAGTTATACGATTTGTTGGTTCAAATGCTCATTTTCTTTCTCGAATGTGATCTAATTGTTATAGGTCTCGCTTTAATAATCCATCGTATAAGCCGATTAAATAGATGTACATCTATTTTAATCGCTGAGATCTCAAAACTTAAGATGTACAACTTAGTTGTCTTGAATCTCATGAAAGTAAGTCGGACTAAAAATTGATAGTCGATTGTGCATCCCTTTATTCTCGAGGGATCAGACCCAAGTCGTACGACTTGTTCGCTCTTTCTCTTGTCTTCCTTCCTAAAAATAACTTAGTTATCCTAAGTCTCTTCTTTCAATATATTAATAGTTATCCAAGCGTAAAGAATAAAAAAATCGGTTAAATAGATGTACATCTATTTTAATCATAGAGTTTTCAAGACACGAGTTGTACACCTTGATAGTTTGAATCTCTTCTATTTCTTCATAAACCGAAATCAGATTAAAAGGGGATTAACTAGATATACATCCGTTTATCCTCAAGTATGTGAACATAACTCGCGCAACTTGTTGGTTCGAACACTTGTTTTCCTCTTAAAAATAACTACAACCAACAAGCAACTTTTCTTCTGCCTCATTGCGATCAATTATTTTTTCCGACCAACGAACAACTCTTTTTTCCGCCTTACTGCGATCAAAGCCTTTTTTATTTAAATTCAACTAACACACAATATTTTTCTACTTAAGAACTACATAGCTTTGAAATCTCCATCGTGCTGGGAGATATGTAGGAGCAGGATTTCCATCTTGTCATGCACCCTAATATAAATTTTTTTCCCTTTCTTGTAAGTATGTCATAATAATTAGGAGAAACCAAATACATTAAGGTTAAAATTTTTATTTCCGCAAAGGTAATTAGAGCTAACCGTTATTTAAAATAGATTTCGTAGGGTGATAACACTTTTCCTATGCATAGTCGACTCCCGGACCTAAATTTGGTTGCGATGACTAAAGGTTCACAGAAACACAAGAAATAGGGGGTTTGATTGGGTTTCAAGATTTGAAGTTTTTTCGAACACCCAAGCACAAACGACACAGTAACAACAAAGATAAAGAACACATGATTTTATCCTAGTTCATCGTTAACTAGGTTACCTCCAGTGCACCCTACCCAGTTGATTTTACCTTATCCCCAAGAACTTAATCCACTAATTAAATAACCTTTTATTACAAACTTAATGACACACCAGTCAAAGACTTCTCGAGGATCTTGACTAAACCTTTAGTCCCTCAAGGAAATTAAGCCGACCTGGTTAAGTTACAAGGTTTTGTGTTTACAAAGTGCTTCTTAAAAAGCTGATACACACAATTTCAATACAACAAGATTTACAAAGAATGAAAGTTATGAAGCTTATAAAATGATAATAGCTTTCTTCTTTGTGTTAATTCTTGACTTAGTGTTTCTCTCTTGTTTTGACTTGTTTCTTTTTTAATATAAGTTCGTTGTTTTTCTGTTAGTCGTTCTTTTCAATGGCTTCAAACACTCATTTATATAGATGAAAATAGATTCGTTGGAGGGTGAAGTTGGAATATCATAATCCACAGCTTGCATGAAGACATTGAGTAGTACAGTAGTAAGTGGCGGTAGCACCATAATGGAAGGTGAGAATAGGACATATTGAAAATTTTGGTACTGAAATACAGTCTTTTTATCCAATCTTGCAGGGTAGTTGAATGATGTTGATTTGTACTATTTGAATAATTTCACACTATCTCCCTTCATAGTAATCTCCTTGAGTTAGAGGCTTGTGATAGAATATGGTGAAACTTGATCAGAGTCTATAGTTACTATCTTTCTTCACATCTAACTACTTAATTCAGAGGATTCTGATAGAATATGATAAATCTTGATCATAGTAAGTCTTCAATGCTTTGAGAAATGTCGAGTTTTCAGATTCTTTAGTTATCAGAATCAATCTGGATAAAGTTCTTTCAACTCTTGATAATTGTAGAACCAAATAGTTATTTGTAAACACTTCTTTGCATTCTTCATCTTTTCAAAGTGTGTTTGATTTCCCAGAGTCTAGAGTGGCTTTGTTTAGAGTCCAGAACAACACTTGTCTAGAGTCCACAAATTGCAAGTTCAGAGTCCAAATTTATTGAATAATCTTCATAATATAACAAACCGTTAGAGTACAAAATTGATCTTCATACTAGTGTACCTGTTATCATCAAACTTCAAGGATTAGTTGACAAATAAAACTTGTTCCAACAATGACCGTATTTTTGTTCTTTAAGAGTTTTATCTTTTTAAAAATAAACGTTGGTGGTGACTTCATTAGTGCATAAATGACTTTTTACATCGGGTAAAACTGACTTTTTACATCGGTTCTGGGTCTGATGTAAAGTCAGGCGATATAGTAAATCAGGTACTTTTACATCGGTTCTGGGTCCGATGTAAAAAGTCCCTTTTTTACATCGATTGTGATCTAAGACTGATGTAAAAAATAATTATAACATTATTTTAAAAAAATTGACGCAACTTTTTACATCGGTTAAACGTGTGGACCGATGTAAAAAGTCTCTTTTTTACATCGGTTGTGATCTAAGAATGATGTAAAAAACAATTATAACATTATTTTAAAAAAATTGACGCAACTTTTTACATCGGTTAAACGTGTGGACCGATGTAAAAAGTCCCTTTTTTACATCGGTTATAATCTAAGCCCGATGTAATATATACAGTTTTGAAAGTTTTTACATCAGTTGGGAGTAATAACCGATGTAAAATGTAAGAAATTTTTTTAGAATAAATTATTTATTTTCTGGATGTTTCCCTGTACAAAAAAAATTGGTACTCATTTTTTCATATTTTTCCAATATCACACAGACTATATTTATGTCGCTATATAGATTTCATAGCTTTCCAACATCACATAGACCACATCTAGGTCAATATTTTCATATTTTTCACAACAAACTTACAAATTGAACAATTGTATTGCAAACTTGTATTGTATCACAACAAACAAACTCACAACAAACTTACAAATACATATTCTTCACAAAACATACAAAAATATTCAACTATTTATAAGTCTTTTCCAAACTTGAATTACCAATATAAAATCCACAAGTAGATGAGTTATAGTTTCGGTAGACAACACCAAAATCACATTGTCTGACAATAAATAATAACAATTAACATCAGTAAAAAAAATCAAGAAACTCAATACATGTGCAAAAACCACATGTAATATGCAAAAACTCAATAATAACAATTATGTGCAAAAACCACAACTTAGACAATTCTATAAAATTCACCAGATAAACTTAATTTTTATATAACTCAAAGAAACATTTTGCCCAACGGAGTCGCAAATCATACAAATCATCTTGTGTTAATTCTGTTGGGTCATCAAATACCTATAATACATAAATAACAATATAGAGTTGTTTTTAAAAAATTCATATTAAGTCGAAAAACAAAAAGTAAATAACAAAGTAAAGTTATTTTTAGTACCTACATCAAATTCTCTGTTATATTAGCAGAGACAATATCCAACATATTTTTCATCACATAGTATCCACAATCATTAGAGTTATGTTGTTGCCTTGTCTACAATTGAATGACATAATTAGTGAATATTTATCATAAATTTAACTATAGAATTACAATTTACATCACACTTACATTGGAATGAAGCCATGTAGCCTTTTTTTCTATTTCTATTTGCCATTTGATGAATCCCAAAAGAACTAATACAGAAATATAAACATTACATAACTAAATTTACTCGCCAATGAAAAATCACATAACTATTAGTTGCCAATGAAAGTCACATGAAAGATAAACTTACTTTGTAATAATTTTCTTCGTGTTCTGGTCAATTTCCCGATGAAGTGAACAAAATACGACAACTAAATTGTCTCTTGGACACATGACTATTAATTGCCAATGTCTCATGTACGTGTGTGTGGAAACAGAAAAGTCACATAAAATATATATGTTATCAAAATTAAATAATATAAAACACAATTTCATAAAAATTCTTACTCATGAATTAATGGTAGTAAGTGGCACACTCTGTTTTCATCACGTAACTTTTCTAATACGTAATTTTTAACATC